GAAGAACAGTGCAACAGCTTTCAGAACAGATTGGAGGGCTGTGCTGCTGTCGCCAAACTGGGTGGTGTCCATGTGGCAGTCAAGCTGCCTTATAATACTGGGCGATAAACAGACAGGAACCTTTCTGATATTCAGCAACTGCACCATAGTTTCTCATCCTTGGGTAAGACTAACCTTAGGTCTGCAAGAATAATAACATATTTAAGAATAAAAGGTCTGGGTGACTGCCAGCCCCCTTGTCTGGCGATGGAGAGAGAAAGTTTTCATCTGTAAGGGATGTGTTAAAATGCTGCTTATGTCATGGTTGGGATTCTCTGGCATGTGTTGAGTTAAATATAAATAACATTCTGCAGAGCAGTCGGCTAAAAACTGTAGATTAATTAGGTTTCAGTATTATGGTTGAAATCTGTTCTTTAGCTGCATCTTCAAACAGCAGAGTATGTCCTGTTTGTGGCTCCACAGATTTCATATCAGTCCATGAGTTTTTTTCTGTGCAGTTGTAGAACCTCATTCAGGATGCTATGTGCTCCACAAATAGACGGGACTGTGGGTTTTACCAGTAGATCCTGTTCCTGCTTGTTCTGTGGTTGCTGTTTTGCAAAAGGGACAGGGTATAGCCTGTTTTGTCCCAGAACCCCGCAGCATTGTCTGTCTGGGCGCAGCAGGGGCAGCAGCGCAGTCCCCAGTAGAAGGGAGGGAGGGAGAGGCAGCAGCCCCGCGTTTGGGCCATGATAACCGCTTCCACGCTTCTCCCCCAGAAGGAGGTTGCTCCCTGCTGCCTGATGGACAAGTGCTCGCCATGGCCCTTCACAGCCATACTTAGCTGGAAGATACGGTCTGGAGGAAGCCCCACCATGGGACAACAGATGGGATTTGGGGAGCAGACAGATCTGCGCACTGGAGATTTGCTCTGTTTACAGCCGCCCGTGGGCATGCAGACAGGCATGGCCACTCCAACCGCGGCGTCAGCCGTGTGCCAGAGCTGAGTAGGACAGCATCCTAGCCTAAATAGGTCCTAAAATCTTTGCCTGTCTGCATTTAGAATTATTTTGATGTTACAATATGAGAGACGAGAACCACCAGTGTATGCAAAGCCTGTGGTGTCTGACCGTGCTTGCTCGATGGGAAGGACGGAGTGGGATGGCATCTGTTTGTATTTAACCCACTCCTGTGGGGAGGTATATCCTTCACACGTGTACGTGCTTGTTTGTCCTTTCTTCTTGGAACATCTGAGCACCTTTTTGTGACTAATGGCTTTTACCCTCAAGACACTCGTGTGACGTGGGGGAATATCATCCTCGTCTTACAGACGGGGGGCCTCAGGCCTGGAGAAGCCGAGTGCTGCCCGGAAGGTTGTAACGGGGCCACGCACTGGGCACAGCCAGGTTGAGACCTAGTCCAGTGCCCAGGCCGCAGCATCAGTGATCCTTAACCTGTGGTTCGTCTGCAACGGGAGCCCATCAACACAACTTAACATTGCCTGAAGTCATGGGATGCCTGGGAATCATTCGCAAGGGTGCCTTCCAAAATTTGCTCTTCAGCAAATTTTCCCATATTACTTCGAAGGAAAACGTTATGAGGAAATGGAGTTGATTGCAATAGTAAATGCGTTTTAGATGTGGCAATGAACTAAGCGCTCCTGATATATCACTTTTCCCTTTTGGCTGACACATTCCTCGGTCCCCTTGAGTATGAGGAGGAAAACAGGAGAGGCGGTTTGAAGAACATGTTGTCCCTGTGATTGACAAGAGGTTGTATAAATCAGTCAAAGGGAATCCTCCAGGCATTCCCTCTTGTGGGAAGATCCCACAGTGCTCTCTGGCCTTGTTCATTCTGTCTCTCGATGTTTGTGTACAAAATGTGTGGGTGGGAGATGAGCTGGATTAGAACCTCCGAGAGGAACAGACATCAGCTCTTTTAATTGAAAGCAGCTTCCTAGGAAGGGGTACGACATGGGCTTCCAGTAAGTAGGCACAAATAGTCCCTGAATACTTTGGAGCAGATATTAAGCTCCTGTGGATCCCAGTTGCTGTGTGGATCTGAGAACCTGGATAAGCCCCAGTGAGCAAAGTTTTGAGTGCTGCATGATGCTGTCAATCTTCAAAGCAAGTACTTCAGTATTTGGTTACACCCTGAAATGAAAAGTACATCTATCCCTTCTTCCCTCCACAGCTGTCAGGTGCTTTAGCTGCTGTTTTGCATCACTGTAGCAAAACGGAGGATGTTAGGAAATAATTTATTTCTCATAAGCGTGAATTCCTATGAATTTGTAGCCGTGACGAGAGATGATGCTCTGTCTTCCAGGCCATTGGAACCTGTAGCTTAAAAGTGGCGGTACTGCAGTAGTAAGTGCTGCCGTCTTCTAGGGATGCCTTAAAAGCAGAGATGTGAAAGGCTCTCCCAGCAACTGGTTCTCAGACTTTGCAGTTGTGGTGTGACACTCAATAACTGGGTAGAATTGAAAAGGGGATGTATTTACCACGTGCGTTAGAGCCTATTGAGATGGTGCAGTCTGTAGGTGATAGGGACTGTTTATCCAATCAGGTTGTTATTGCAAAATCTTAAAGAACTTTTTTTGCCATTAGCTAAGTTTACTAGATAGCAACTAGTGTAGAAGAGGCTCTTGTAGCCACTCCTAGTGTCATGTCTGTTAGACTTTTCCCACGTTTCTCAATGATACTCTTCTCCTAAAAGAACTTTTTAGCCCAGTACCACTTTGAAACACTTGTCTGAGTAGCGGTGGATCAGCCTCAGCAGGAGGAAGCTTATCTAACCTGTTCCAACCAGACCAGTCTACCGAGTCTGCACATCTCAGCTGCACGTGTCTCAAACACAGGCTCTTTATGCAATGCTAAGATTTTTGCTAATATTCTCAGGCAGAAGCAGAAAGTGCTAGAGTTCACACAAGCACACAAATCAAACAAGGCATTTAAAAGTTATCAGAGATTTCCAGCCCACCTCAGCAGGGGTTTATTTTGGGTTTGATTCAAACTTTTGGTGAACGTCTGGGTGATTTCTTAATACAGGTTTTCACTCATCCATTAAGTGGCACTTAAAATGCACCAAACGTCAGTACTTTTGTTTCTTTCAACCACCTTTTTGGACCAATAGAGCAGGAGGAGATATAAGAATAAGAACAAAATCATATAAAAGTAATGAGACGTTTGTTCATGTCAAAGAGCTCTCTGACCATATAAATTGCAGCTGTGGGTAAGATAAATTCCCTAGCTGGAGAGGTATTAAAATAAAAACCATGCTCCCAACAAGAGACAGGCTGCTGAAAATGTAAGAAGGGAGAATTGCGAAATGGTACATGTCGAATTGCTGGCCTGGATTTCAAATGCCAAAGATAGTTTATGTAAAGCCTTGCTCTGCTGTAAAATGTAACACTATCCACTGGCTAGCCTCAATGAAGCTTGGTCCCAGTTGTTTCAAAAAATAAATAAACTAAAAATCTTCTTCCAGCCCATTAAAGCTGATTTATGTTTTGCCCATAGATTCCTCTGTGCTGGATCTTGAGGGACTCAGATTAGAGAGGTGATTACCTCACTTTTAGCCAATCTGGTTTCTCATTCCCAGGCATCCCAGGCTCTCTTTGCATTGCCCAGACGTTGTCTGCCAAGACCAAGAGGGCAGTTCCATGCAGAAATTACCGAGCGGGCACAGAGTTTTGAACAGTTAAAAACATCTCTGTTAATTCTCTTGTTTCACTTCAGGGTTTTCTTTTTGTTTAATAATCAGGGAAATTGCTTATGCGAACAGCTTTACTGACAGCACATCACCACCTGATTGCTCAGTTCAGGCTCTGGCCTTGGAAAGAAATCTAATACTGTCCCCAAGGGTACATAGCTCCAGTTAGCACCTAGCGCAGGTGGTCTGGGTGATCCATCTTAGGCTCTCCTGTGGCTAGCCCAAGTGCTGGAGATGGTTTGGCCTCTTGAGTTACATTCGTAGCTCCATTGCCATTATACTGTGTGAGCAGAAGGAATTCCCTCTATCCCCATAGCTTTGGTAATGACAGTCACTGAGTTCACCAAAGTGTTGTGAATCTTAACAGGTGCCCTTCAGATGCTCCAAGAGCCTCAGCTGGAAGCATCCTTCTAATCCAGCTGTAGCCTTTTGTATGGTGGGCATTTCCCGTCTCATGTTTGTTGGGGGAATGAAGGCTATGGTCATGCGTGTTTCTATTTTGAAGCAGCTTCAATGAGCATAGTGGTTTCAGGGTAAATCCTACCATTTATTGCAGCTTCATTTTCACATCTTAGATACTGATGGCACTGCAAGGCTCTCCGGTACTTAAATTCAGGCATTTGCTTCTTTATGCTTTTCATCTACGCCAGCACTTGGGATTCATCTACTTGTTCTTTACTGAAAAGAGCAGTTCGCTTATAATCCCACTGCTGCCTGCCAAGGGAAGTGCTGTCGGTGTAGGAAGAAGGTGATTCCACTTGCAGAAACTAGCTAACAAAACAAGAAACTAGTTTGCTTAAATTGGGTTGTAGAGACAGGCCTTCCCTGGCTTCACTTCCTTCCAACTTTACGTGGCCATCTGTAGCTTCCCTGGGGTTATAGTAACATGCAGGTTTAAACAGGACATTGCTTGAGTACTGTGGAGAGCATCTGCAGGCTGGCTGTGCTGTGAGTTGGTACGTTCAGAAGTGATCGTCACCTTGACTCCAGTGGGAAGAGACATGGTCCGTTTGGGTGGGAGCAAAGTTGTTCTGAATGCTGTCAAAGACGTCGTACCAAATTAAGAGGAAACTGTTGGCTGCCATCCAGCTGCTGTGAGTCTTTAGCTCCTTTTCATGTTTCAGTTTTTCTTATTGAGGTGGAAGACCTGGAAACTTAACTTTTGAATAATCTCATGGTATTTAGAAACATCATTATTATGTATTATTTTATTCTAGCAGTGCAGTTGGACTTTTTTCCCCACTTTAAACAGTCATAATCCTTCCTTACTGTCATCTACGTCTGTTTTGGTGTTTATTTTTTCTCCCTAGATGTGTCGAACTAAAGTGATTGACTTGAACGATGGGGTCTCTCAGTATGCCTGGTATCCCTGCACGGCCAACTTCCAGTACTCCCACATGACACAGACCATTTTCTGGCTGAAGGTAGGAAGTGCACATGTCATTCAGAAATCTCCTCTTTGCCTGCCTGTACGAAGTTTCTCCAACAGGCAAAATGTCATGGGACAGCCTTTCCTGGGCCAAGCTGCTCATTTCTTTGAAGTATGTTTAGTGCAAAATAGCAAAACAAAGCCTCTGAGCACTGTCTAGAGAGTCAGTGGTGAAGTCCCCTCCTGTGACAAGGCTGTTGAATTTCTGAGGGGTTACAGCCTCCAGCTGCAGGGCTGTTTCACTCAAGTTTATCTAGTTTGTGTAGGAGGGATTCGAAGAGAAGACTTCTATGTGACCTGGGTTGGGAACTGTTATTTTAAAAGCCCTGGACTGGCTCTTGGGATTTTTTAAAGCCCACTGCAGTTCTCCACCTCAGCCTTTGTGGGGCTTTTGTTTTCCCAGGCTTATTTTTCCCAGCCTATGGTAGCTGCGGCAGTCCTCGTTCACTTGGTCACGGATGGGACTTACTACCTGGATCAGAAGCAGGAGACCATCGGTGTGCAGCTGTTTGACACCAAAGAGCAAAGCCATGATCTTGGTAAGACTGTATTTTATTAAACTCCCTCTTTATTGGTTGCTTAATCTGTTGCTACCCCCATTCAAAAACTGACCAATACTCCTGCTCAGTTTTTCCAGGATCAGACAAAACCAAGTGTTTGCTTAATGCTCCAAGACCTGAGTTTCACTAGGTTTTATTGAAAATGGTGCATCATTTTATACAGACATTTCACCATACCTGTTCACTATGTGTTCAGAAGCAATTAGTTCCTCTTTAGTCATTAAAATAAGCACTATTTCAATGCTTCACACACAGCACCTCCCTGGAGAGACATTGACAGTGATACAGATGAACTGTTGGTAGCCGGGAGTGAGGGACCTACACGAGCTGCTGCAGCAAACACTTCTGCTTCACAAGGTGTAGCTGGATGGATCTCTAGTCCTGCTTGCAGGGAGGTTTCCCCAGCTATTTAATGGCCAAAATTTTTCATGCAAAGTATTTCAAGTTTGATGAAGGTCTAACACCAGGGCCCTTGCAGACTCCTTGCATGACCTCCTTGTCTCTGCCCTGGGCACAGGCCCTGAACCTGGGCGAATTGTGTCTGGTGAATTGATTCTGTCTGCATTTAACCTCCAGGACCAACGATCTCACCCTAGCTCCCAACTCCGTGTCAGAGTAGGACTTGCATAATCCCTTTCCAGCTCTCCCCTGCACTTTTTTCCACTGGGAAGAAAGCTGGCCGTGTCGCCCAGAGAGCAGTTTTTAAGGAAACATAACCCCTTTCCTCCAGCTTTCTGTTTTACCATAACTTTGCAATTTTGACACGCTGAAACTCAAATGAACTTCCTACTAGCAATGAGAAGGAGAAAGGACACGCAGAAGTGACAGGTGTTGGATGACTAGCCAGGGTAATATATAATTTGGTGGGGTATGGAGGAAAAGAAAGAAAATACGTGTGGTGTCTTTTGTCTGAGAACAAGCTGAAATTCATAGCAAGTTGTGCAGGTTAAGTCAGGATAGCTCCCGGTTTGCCAGAGCCCCTGGGTTAGTCTTATCCCCCTCCTTTCGCAAAACAGTGGCACAAAGCTCTTTGCCTCTCAGAAATAAATGGTGGAGGCACAAGCATGCCAACAAATACTTAATGCGACATTTTCTAGAGACAGACAGACGGATTGTGAGAGAAAGAGATCAAGAAAGAGGAGCAAAGAGGAAACTGAGGGTTAGGTTTTGAAATCCTCGATGAAGTTGCAACATGAGTTTGGCATAGCCCAGACTGATGCCTAGAGATCTTCCCAGCTGAAATGCTACCTTCATCATGGAAAAGCCCCTCTGACCTTTTCAGAAGAGGCTGGCCTGGAGCAGGGAGATGGGTAGGGAGGCTGCCCAGCAGTTCTCACTCAGGCAGAGCTCCCAATCACTGTCTCGTCTGAGTTCTGGGTGCGGCATTCGGTCCTTTTCCTGGATATTGTATTTGATGTGTTTGAATTAGCACCGTGGCAAGCCTGAAACTGGAACTGAGATGCAAACTTTGGCATGCACTGGGTGCAGGACTGACGGTGGACAGTCAGCCAGCCTTAAGCAGAAGTTAGTGGCAAACTAGAAGTCCATCCAAAAGGAAGGAGCAATAATTTAAAGCTTGATCAGTCCTCGGTGTGGACTGATCCCATGAGCACTCCCATAAGCAGAATGCAGTCTATTCGGAAGTGCAGTTTCCCACCTTAATCAGAGCAGTTTTTTTTTACTGTGTGGACTCTCAGAAAATAATGAGAAGCTTCTCCTGGGTCTCGGTAGGAGATGGAGAGGTTGGGATGCCAAAAACTTCAGTGCTGTCAGTTCAGAGCCATTGTGGACACTGGAGTTCAGCTGCTGGGTATTTTGCAAGAGCTGTTGAGCATTGAATAGGTGAAGACAGAGCTACAGAAACAGGAGCAGGCATGGCGGCAGCTCTAACACCCCTGCCATGGGCACCTGTACTGTCTGGAGTGGTTTTTTGCTAATGAAGGCAGGTCAGTTAAATGAACTTGACTTGTTCAGCCCCCGTTTACCTTGTCAGGGTCAGAAACCACCGGCAACTGCAGTAAAAGCAGGGTCTGTTTTGTTGTGGACACCACCTGAGTGCGAGGAATGAAATTGAAGTGAATAAACAACCCCATACCATAAGGTCTTTCTTGGCTTTCCATCAGAGAAGGCAGAAACTTCCAAGGAATTTGGGAACCCGGGATTTCGAGTATTAACTGCACCTGTTTGTAAGTGAGAAACGTGCACCGTTCCACAAGGAGCTGATATCAAAAGACCTGTGGGAGGCAAGTAGACAGGGAGGTTATTTCAGGGTCAGGTAAAGACCAAAATAAAAAAGAGGTTTGCTTTTTTATTTTATTTTTTTTATTACAGGAAGATATTTTTTTAAAGTAGAGGGTGGGAGATAGATGTTTAAAGAGAGTGGTCAGAAGTCTGTCTTAATTCACAGGAAATCACTTTCTAAGGAGAAAAATGAAAACTTTTTTATTCCTTCCCTTTTGAGTCAAGAAACCTGAGCTGGAAAAAAATAGTAATAATAGAAATCCCTGAGCCAGTTAAACATGCAAATAGAACTTACTTTATTTTCAAATTTGTAAGTGTATCAGGGTAGCCAAAGGGCCTGGGCCAAAGCCGTTGCTGGGGGAGCTCCAGTGAAGTGAATGGAGCTGGAGCCAAGCTGAGCCTCGGAGTGATGCCATGGAACCGCGGAGGCAGGGCTTTGCAGGCAGCCGTCAGGCCATGAATCTCAATTAATGAATTTTGAGGCCAGCTGACAGCTGTCTGTCCTTTGAGTTACCCCTGAGATGGATTTGGCCCATTGGAATTCAGATTGCCTCTACTTGAAGGTGGGAATTTCTTCCCAACTATCACCGAGAGCCTTCAGTGCTGAAGAAAAGGGATTAAGACATCTCCTTGTCACCTCTCTGGTGCTTCTGTCCACCTCGACCTCTTGAGACACTTTTAATTTCCTGAGATACAATTATTTTCTTCTCAAATGAGATCACCTGTAAAATCCTCAGTGGGTCCGTCACTCTCGTTTCTCTCTCCAGGACCATATTTGCCTTTTTTAGCAAAAAGCAAGACACCCTAAGGCTCAAAACCATCAAAATGGGCACATTTAGTATAGAGCGCATGCAAAAAAATTTTACACTGAGTGCTAATGACATGCACAGCAACAAACAAGCCACTGGTGCAGTGCCCTCAGTGCACAAAGCCACCCAGCCTGCCGGCACCATTTGATGCGCGGTATAAAGGCTCCAACTGTCCTCTCAGGCCGGTTTTACAATAGTGCGACTCTGCTTCCTCCGTGATGGTTGCTCCTGATTTAACAGAGCACAATAGAAACGTAGCTGTGGTCTAAAGAAACTGCTCTGAGAGCCTGCCGTGCTTGTGGAGAGAATGGCAGCCTTTCTTCAGCTGTCTGGAGGGATATACTTCTCTGCTAAGCTCTCCAGAGCGATTTGGGAAGCCCCTCCAGGCAGCTTACCATAACTTTTCAGCTCTATAGGACCGTTCCTATGGGTGAAATGCTTCTGAAGTGCCCACGGCTTTGCGAAGCGATTGTGTTAAGTCTGACCCTTCCTCTGATCTTGTCTCTCCTCTGGCAGGTGTCCACGTCCTGAGCTGCAGGAACAATCCCCTGATTATCCCCGTCATCCATGACCTCAGTCACCCTTTTTATCACACCCAGGCTGTCCTCATTAGCTTCAGCTCCCAGTTTGTGGCCATCTCCGGGGTGGCCCTGCGTTCCTTCCACAACTTCGACCCCATCACCATCAGCAGCTGCCAGCGAGGACAGACCTACAGCCCGGCGGAGCAGAGGTGAGCCTGTCAGCTTGCTTCCTTCTGCCTCGCCGCCTGCCGCCCCCCGCGCCGCCCGCCTGCGCCGGGGGTGAAGGGGAGGCAGGAGGGGCACAGCAGCTGAACCCTGCTGACCCTTTTGTGTCAATGGTAAAAAAACGGCAGTGTTCTCATTGATCAGGATGGATGGGACATTTAACCTGCATGGGATACTGTTAGTGAATTATTTCCTCTTCCTTTCTCCTCCCTCCTTTATCCCAAGCTTGGAATTGGGGCCAGTTAACTCTCCATACATTCCCCAGTACGGCATCGTTTTTGCCACTCACACACTGGCTTCAATCTACAGCTTTGTGCTGGTAAAGTGCTACAGGGACCTCCCACGGAAACGGTCGCGCTGAGACAAAGTGATGCTTGTGTCCCAGCGGGGCTGGATCCTGCAAGGTGCTCGTCCCTGTGTGGTGGGTGCTTGGCTACCAGCATTCCTGGTGCTTTTATGGCTGGGTAAGGGCCCTCAGTACCTCTCCAGATCTGGCTCACGTTCTGAAAAGCTCTGTGGGACCCCCCAGGATGAAAGGTTTATGGCTACCGTTTTATTCTTGTTGTTATTACAGACACATCAATAGATCACCACCAACCCCTCTCAGTCTCTGCTTTACAGCATCCCACAGAGATTGTGACCTTTCATGGCCTCTGGTGCGGCAGCTTCATGGATCCTTTCAGCGAGGCAGTGAAAAGAAGAGGGGAGAATTTAGCAGAACCCCTGAAAGAATAATTTTATTTTTTTTTCCTTTGTGAATTCAAAGTTGTGAGCAGTCGTCATACCATAGCGGCAGCAATAGTAAAACAAGTCGCATATTCCAGCAAACCTCTGCTCAGCCTCCTAAGCAAGCTGTCAGGTTTTTTGATAATGTTCTGGCTTGTTTTTCGGAGCTGCTTTTATTCCAGGAAAGGCGGGAGGGTGAGAAGGGGGAGAGGGAAGGGAAAATAAAATTTAAAAAAAAAGGAGTATATCTATAGCTAAATCAATCCAGTCAGTGTGTTCTGACCTAGATTCAAGGAGTCTGATCATTCTGTGCAATAGGTTGTATAAATTCAGAGGCCCAAAGACAGGAGGATCAAGTTTCAGATGAGAAGTCTAGTTGTGGAAGTTTGGCTAAATCCCAGTGCAGGAGCGGGAGAGAAAAAGAGCGAGAAAGACCCACTGGAAGGAGATGGTGAGAAGCAACAGGGAGCTCGAGAGGGCTGAGACACAGGACCGCATTCCTCCCTCTCAAGTTTTCAGTAGGAATTGAACCATTTGTTCACTTATGAAATTAGAAGTGCTCTGTGTTTAGAAAGTTATTTCCTTAATAAAAAATGCATTCCCCTTAGGCAAAGCTTCAGTGAGCCTCTGCAACCCAGCAAACTAACCTTTAGAAATCTCTTGAAGAAGAATCACCCGCCATTTGCCTCTTCTTTTTCTTCTGGATTTTTTTTTGATGTTGTTTTGTTTTCGTGATGCACTGAACAGCCCCTTGCTCTCAAAAACTTCCGTCAGAGCCTTCCTCGTTGAAAGTAACGTTTTAGGTCTTGCAGGTTACAACGCTGGATTGATCATAAAGTTTCCTGTGTCGGTCAAGGAACTAAAAACTCTCTGAAATAAAGCCCTGATCCAAAGCCAACTGAAATCAGTAGGATTTTTTCCATTGATGGCAGTGCTATAGTTGAAAAATCTCCAATTTGCCTTGTGATGGGACTGTTTTGAGTGACCGTATATGCTTTCTTCTGTACAAGAAACTCTAAGCAGTTCAGGTATCCAAGATGTAGAGAAAGTTGTGCATTAAGTTGTGCAACTGGGAAATGTATGACGCCTTTGCTGTCACCTGCCATCTTTTCCCTTTGTTATTTTATCCACTCCAGGGAGAACATAGAAAGAGGGATTTTTAAAATTTATTCTTAACCAGTTCAGAAGCTGGATGTCGGTTTTCAGCCTCCCGTGCTCCCCGTCTCCCCATCAGACTCCCTTTGAGTGCCAGTCCCACACTGCCCGTCCTCCCCATCTCTCCTTTCCCCACTGGTTGCATTTGCCTAATATGATTTTTAAAATACTTATTTAACTTTAAAAGGAACTTTCCTTCCTATGTGTAAGCATCAATTTTACCGCTTTCGTTTTCCTTAGGTCAACATGGATATTTTTGCCTGCTTTTTGGCTTCTCTCTACAAGAGATATTATTTCTCTCTCTTCAAGGAGAATTATTTTGGTTGGAGAGGATTTATAGCCAGATACAGACACTTCGAGGCAAGGGTGCAGATTTTAAATATGTGAGGGAAAAGAAATATATTGGCCCTTAAAAGTTAACACGGCTTTTATTTTGAGGGTGAATGGATCAGTCCCATGGGTTAGTGACAACTTAATAACTGAAAATAAAACATGCGCTCACTCTTCTTTCTTAAAATATGTATCACAGTTAATATTTTAGAAGAGAAAAAAGAGCTTAAATGCAAAAATGCCATTGAACTTTATAGGTAGTTGTCCTCAGTCATCGTTAGCTCTTTTGAAAATCCCTTCCATCTTTCTGAAGACATTTATAGAGCGTTTAAAAAAAAAACCTCTATGCTTTCCAGTTGTATTTTTCCAGTTGGTTTTTCTGCTGCAGCTGACCACAGGCTTTTTTTGTTTTCAGCAAAAGTTTGCCTCACTGCTGGAGATGTGCTGTAAAAACAACACGCTTTATTTTCATATTGCATCTTTAGACCAGATATAAAGGCCCGCTTAGTTCTTCTCTTGCGCTTTATAGCTCAAATTATTATACTTTTATTATTTCCTATTTAGCCTGGTGGAGTGGATGGTGAAATTGACTGTGCAGAAGCAGAGGAATAATTTCCCACCCTGCAGTCACTCGAGCAGCAGGAACGCCTGGTGCACTGGGACTACCTTTGACAGCTCTTCCTCAGAAATCAGGTTTTTGTCCCTTTCATCGTGTAGGAAACGTCAGCTGGAGGTCTCCCATCCCTGGCAAGGCAGTTCTTGTGGAGTGCTGCTTTCCCTCGGTGGCATTTCCCTGCCGTGTTCAGAAGAGCTGTCCCCTCATCCATCCCGCCTGGTGCCGTTTGCTCCTCCCCTGGAAACTGCAGGCGGGAGGTGTGAAAACCCAGGTAGACACCCCAATTCAGCTGTCAGAATTGTGGATTTCAGGAGTTTTCAGCTTTCTAATCCTCCATTAACTCCCTGTTTGTAATGAAGAAAAGCCTCCTCACCCCTGGAGTGGGGTCTGGCTGCCCACGGCTCTCCGGCGTGCATGCCCCACGTTGTGCATCTCCTTGTACTTTCTAGTTAGTGTAGCAAAAAGGTTTTCCTTTCCTTTGTTTGGTTAAATCTTGACACGAACTCACTGTTATGGCCGCAAAATTGCTTCTGCAGGAGAGATTTGGGGGTTACCTTCCTCTGTAAGTGTGCACCTCCGTAAGGGTGTTTGACAGCTGGGGGGGGACCGGTGCTGTAGACCAAGACCCACTGCTGGCCAACATGCCATCGCCTGCCCTCCCTGGCCTCCGTGGAGAGCTGGCCTCCGAGCTTCAGCCTTTGCTGCCCCAAACAAGCCCCAGGGAGATGTAGCCTACTCCAGCTCTTCTCTTTGTCTTGTTCTCTCCTGCTGTCAGCTTCCTCAACAAGAAATGATGAAGATAAATCTTCAGCAGCGGAAGAAAGGCAACCACCCTTTATAACTCCAGTTATTTTTTTCCCTTTTTATAAGGAAGGGGAAAAAAAGGGTTTCCTCATCTCTTTCTTTTTTGGTGATTTAATGCAGCTTTCTTTTTCCCAGTTTGGCTGCCTTTCTCCTGCCCTGTGTTCTGTCATTAAGCGCAATCTCTGTCAGCTTGCTTCTGGTAAAATTAATGAATTTCTCACAGAACTGTTAATCATAGAAGCTTTGGTCCGTGACATGTGTTATAATTCAATGGGTTTTTAACCTTCGCCCCATTTTGGTAATTGGCAAACAGCATCATTTGGCTTTTATTAAAGTGGAAGGCGATGCGTTTTCTTTGTTTGCCTGGACAGACTCTGGCAGGGAGACCTGCAGGGCTGCTAACGCCCAGGCACATGGTCCCCCTTCCAGGCTGGCAGGGCAAAGGGGCTTTGAGAGCTTTATCAGTTCAGTAGGGACCCTGCCGGGCCCAAATATCTCACACAACGGGGTGCAGGCGGGCTGAAGGCAGAGCCGTTCCCCAGGGAGAATGTTGCCCTGCCAGTGGTGAGGACGTACGGGCTCCTGCCTCTCCTGCCCCACAGCTTCCCTGAGGTTTGACCACGTATTCTCTGTAAATCTTTGGGTTTATCCACATTTCTGACCCTATCAGTTTGAATTAAGGTTTTGCTGTAATTGCCATCAGACAGGCCCAATGGTACTGCGATGAGATTGCTGAAGGGACCATAGGTGATGAGATTGCTGAAGGCACCATAGGTGATGCTACTCTTTGGGTCACTCTCATGGACCGGATTTGAAGACAAACACCTAAAAAGGAAGGACTTGATCCTTCTTCCAGTGGCACAATCAGCACAGGTTCACTGCTCCCCATCCAGCCCCAAGGGTTCGAGTAAATGTTCTTTGAGATTTTGTGTTAGTAAAAGGAGATCAATGTGTTTTAGCTGAAGACTGAAGAAGATAAATTCATTGCCACCTTTGCAGTTCATACTTTTTTTATTTTTACAACAAGGAATGTGGCTAGCGGCCTTTGCTTTCCAAAATGCTGCGTATATGTTTGGATTAGAGAGAGAGAACCTGCTCTTGCCTTTAGAGGAATCTCTACAGAGGAGAAGACAAACCCATTGTAAGGATAAATCTGTTAGAAAAACCCTCAGAAGGCTACACGTGTGTGAGTTGTATGTATGGTGGCGTGGAACAAAACCAAAGTATGCTTCAGATCTGCAGCCCAGGCTGGCCCGGACTGTGGAAAAGGAAGTTTTTCCTGTGTACAATAGATAATGGTGTGGCTCTTCTCGTAACAAGGGTATACCATGAGCTTTTGTGCTCACCTACGCGTATATATGTGTGTCAGAGCTATCACAAAGGAAACAATAATTAGGGCACTATGTTAAGATGAGTTCTTGGAAGAGTGCTTGACCCCAGGGTTAGGAAAAGAAAGTTTGGCTGCTGTGAGCTTTTCGAAAGAGGAAATCCTGGATTGTTTTTATGTGAGGAAAGAAGAGTTCCACTTAATTGTTATAATTCTCTGTAAACATGTTAAAATACAAATGTTTCTAGGATTGTGTCACTAAGACCCCAATTTAGCAAAGCCGTTAGCTATTTGCTTATATCCCCCTGTAGTCAAATCTATCAGTAGGACTTAACCGGGCTTTTGAAGTTAAGCACATATTTAAGTGCCTTGCTGAATTAGGGCCAATATTGGCACAGAGAAATAAAGATTTAGAGGCTAATGACTGAGCTCATTTAGATTAGGGATGGGCAGAATGGATGTGAATAAAGTAAGAACTGGCTCAGAACTTCAGCCTACATGTGAAGCTAACTCAGTTCAGGGCTTTTTACATCATTGAAACCGTCTCCCTTGACCTGTGTTTTTGACACGCTGCAGGAAATGGAACGTGTGCCAGAAATCCACTGCTCCTTGCACGCACCTTGGTGTGCAAATGTTGCTTTAGGAAGTCACACGCTACCAGGGCAAGAATAGGAACAGGTGAATCCTGAGGTGAACCTAGTGAAATAAACTCTGTCAGGGAATATCCGGGCACCGACACTTGTTCGTTATATATATATCAGTAAATCATTAGAGTGGTGTCCTGGTTTGGCTGAAACGGGACCATTTCTCCTTGGTTCCTTGCATAGCTTTCGTGCAGACCAGCTCATACTGTGGCAAGCAACTCCCAAGTGCGTTTGGAGAGTTAGGATAGACCAGGAATGATTTGAAATAAGCCGTTTTGATGAAGTCATCCAATTTTGATTGCAAGAAAATGGCATAAGCTGTCCTGTGCCAGGAATCAACATGAGTTAAAGTAGAAGTGATTTCATTCTCAAATACTCATGTTGTTTCTTTCCCGAGGAATGCATAGTTTCTGAAGCATGTGATGATTAACCACTGTTAAAGGGTAGTACCAATGCAAGAGCTTCTGTAACCCACAATTCAGCAATATGGATGTGTTGGGTTCTTTGTCTAAACTTCCTACTTGGAGATACTAATTTCTCCTTCTTAATTCTACATTTGCAGAACGCAATTCAGGATTGTGACTTCAAAATTCATTGGGATTTATGGCTGACAGTAGCTGATACCAAATTGGAACCAGTAGCTAGAGAACCAGAAATATTTAAATTGGAAACATTTGGTGGCAGTGGTTGTTTTTTTACAAAAAGTGAATGGTTGTATTGTTTGTCACTGAAGTCATTCATATAGAGTTACAGACAGAGTGAGCTGCCCAGATGATCTGCTAACCAAGGCATAATCTGGAGCCCAGAGGGGGTGGCTAAAAATGTTGCCTGGCCATTTAAGAAGACCACAAGGGGACTTGTAAACAGAAAGAAGAACATCACAATAAGTGTTTCTTAATGCCTTTGTCTGTGGTGTTTCAGTTCTGTAGGACTTTTAAGCCCGGGCATGCTCATCTGGTGTCCTGATGTGAACTCAAGAAACCAGATTCTTCTTCTCCTTTACATTGATGGAAATGAAAAGCCATGCCGCTGGCTGCGGTGACGTTGCTCCAGATTTCCCTTTGTGCAAATTGCAAAGGTTTTCTTAGGCTCATCCTTCCCTCTGAAGCCATTCAAGGCTGAATTCAGTGCTATATCCATGTGTAGTGCATTGATTCACATAAGTATTAAATTAAATAGGTCTACTATTATTTTATTTTTCCAACTTTAGTGCAAAAAGGTTTTCAGATTTTGTGGGAGTTTTGCAATGGGCAGTCAAAGTTCACAATATGTGCTTCTGAGAATGGCTTGGCAATTGTGCTCGCTTTTTTCCTCAATGAGTCAACTTCCTCGTCACTGGAGCCCTGGCACGGGAGGAGCTCGCATTGCAGCCTCACTATCTGAAAAGCAGAGGGGCAAAGTGACAGTTGGCCTTCATGGATACGTGTAACTGGGTTCAACAAGACGTCCTTCATCATGGTGCTTAGGAACATAGTTTAGTGGTGGACTTGGCCATGCTAGGTTTACGGTTAGACTCGATGATCTTAAAGGTCCTTTCCAACCTAAACCATTCTATGATTCTATAATTTACGCTCTCACTGAACATCCATGTTCAGATATTCTTGCTAATGTTAATTGGTGACTTACTCAGCTAGCAGTGCCGTGAAGTCAATAGTAAGGTGTTACTCTGCTAGGGGAGCCTCAGTGCGTGAGACTGCTCGAGGGCTGCTGCCGAAACAGGGTGAAGTCTGTGGTTCACACTCCTGGGTAATTCATGTTGGGCATTTACAAGACAATTGCACATGGCTGTGCTTCTCACCTCATTTCTCTGCAGGAGAAGACCATCTGGGCACTAGGATATACTGTCCACTTGTTCTTCCACTATCTCATCCACAGTCTTATTGATCGGTGCAAAGAGAAATCAATGGCAGTTTAAATTTGTATGTCAGGCTGGAAGACATGCGTGAAACCCTTGGTATGGGGGGGGGATCCTACTGAAGGCAGGATCACTCTGTGTAGGTCAGCTCTGGCAGAGGATCATCCGTTCTGCAGAAGTAATGAGCATCACAGTTGTAGTGCTGACAGACAGAGTGCTGTTTGTTGCATACAAGGGTATTGAGTTGGCCAACACAGAGGTGGGATTCTCCTTCCTCAGTCCTGTCAGCAGCAATACTTTGTGCACAATGAGGAAATAAGATCTTTCTGAATGTAGAAATTGTTTATGGCTCATCGCACTCCAGGGAAGGGCCGCCGCTGAACAAGCAACCTTACATTACAAGCAGCGGGCACTTCCCATATAGCACTAGTCTGGGACAGAGAAATGAGTTGTGGAGGTACATAATACTGTCGTTTAACCTGATCTAGAGCTCAGTAGAGACATCTGCAGATGTGCTTCTCTATCAGTAACATGGAGATAACAATACCAGCCCAGGTGTCTCACAGGGGTGTCATGAAAATTAATTAGATGAGGTCTGCACAATGCTTCGAACACTGCAAAACACCACGTACATGCGAAGTCCTGTGCCTGCTAAGGTGGATGGGGTTTTGATGGCTGTTAACCCTTTTTCTAGGAGACGGGAATAGCTTGCTTGTAATCCGTTTCAAAAGATGTGTATTGATGCATTGCTTTCCCTTCTTTCTATAACTTTCTGTGTTTCAGGTTCTTCCCTACCCACATAGATAGTGAAATAAGTCAAGGTTTTCCCTCCTCAGAATTAATTTCACTGTATTTAATTTAAATTAATCTTAATTTTCAGCAGAGGCATATCACCTTGTAGGAATCCTTAACCCCAGAAATTTTGTCTCTAATCAAGCAAAACGTCTTTGCACATAGAATCGTAGAATAGTTTGGGTTGGAAGGGACCTTTAAAGGTCATCTAGTCCAGTCCCCCCCTGCAATGAGCAGGGACATCTTCAATTCGATTGGGTTGCTCAGAGCCCCGTCCGGCCTGACCTTGAATGTGTCCAGGGATGGGGCATCTACCACCTCTCTGAGCAACCTCTGCCAGTGCCTCACCACCCTCATCGTAAAAAATTTCTTCCTTATATCTAGTCTGAATCTACCCTCATGCTTTAGGACTCCCGGCATTTTCATTGCCCTTTAGCTGGGGGACTGCCCCATACTCAGGTTTGAATATGTGCTATAATGTTTGATTCAGGTCATCAGAGATGGTGAAAGATTTTGTGTCAACTAGACATCTCTGTGTATACAAAAATAAAACAAAACCCTCTTTTTACAGGTTGTGCTAAATGTTACGATAATTTACTGCAGGGAGAGCAGACAGTTTCCATGCGGGGAAACATTTTATGGATGGCAGGACAGCAACCGGAGAGATCTGAAATGACAGCATGCTGCTGAGCTTGATAAGAGCTTATCAACACAGCTATACAGCTGATGTTTGGTGTTCCTTGTGAAGTGGAATGAAATGAATGTGTTGATGTCAATCGAGTTTCTCAAAGATAAGAGTGTCTATCACAGAAATCCCTCCTCACGGGTAAAGGCATGCACACTTATCACTAGCAATATCGGGCACTCCTGAATTCAGCAGAGATTTCAAATTGGATGGGGCATAAGGACTGCTCTTGGAGGAAGAGTGCTCTCGTGGGACGGATGGATGGATGGATGGATGGGTGTTGGTACAGAAGTAGGAAGGCCACAGTGGGTTGAATATTGCAGAACAGAAAGTAATTCTGCAGAATTGGCAGGTTCTTCCCTTTTGCCACAAGACCTGTAATTTGCTTTTGTTGTCATCACCGTTACCACTGTCACTGTCCTTTGGAAGACATAACTAGAGGATGTGCTCGTTGGAGAGGAGTCCTTTGCCGAGTCGGGTTCAGTATGCAGTCTGCGTACCTGCTGCCTGACAAGTGATGAGTTTGTCAGTCAGACACACTTGCTCTTGTGGAATGAAATAAATGAGTTGAACAAAAATACCACTTCTTGTCTCCCACCTAGCTGCGTCCACTACTCCTGTGAAGCCACTGACTGCCAAAAGCTGGAGATCGAGAACGCGCTGCTGAACTGCACCGGTGGCGGGTGGTACGACGGTGCCCAGTGCAACGTGAGCTGCAAGGCAGGCTACATTCTGCAAGTCCAGCGAGACGACGATCTCGGCAAGAGTCAGGTCTGTTCTGCTGGTTTTGTGTGACCCACAAGACAGGGATGAGCAAACAGATGTGGAGAAATTGAGAAATAACCCAGCCTAAACCCCCCCCAAAAAACAGCCTAAAACCAGCCTTGGGACAAGGCATTATCCAAATACTTCTCATCAGAATAGGAGCTATCTGACTCTGTAGGAAGAGGTACTGACAGTGAGCAAAGCTCAGATGTTCCCCAAATTTAGAAATTCTCAGCCCAAAAGGTTTGTGTTCAGGCTTTCTTTGATCTCACTGGCTCTATTCGGCCAAACAGTGTTTCTTGGGTTGGTTTTTTAGGGGTGGGGTGTTTGGTTTTTTGCACAACCAGTTTCTGGGCAAAATATCTCATTTTTCTTCCTTGGGTTGAGGCTGACAATGTCTTAACTCCTTTGGAGTGTTTCAGTGCAGCTGCTCCCAACCACACCCTGATACTGCAGAAATGCATGGTATCGAGGGGTGGAAAAAGCCCCCAAACCTCTTTCTTCCAAGCAGAGCACCTAAAACCTACCCCAGTGGGCCAGGGAGTGCTCCTCATCATCTCTAGGCCATGCATTAATAATCCAATCCTACAAAAGCAGCATGTCTTGATACACTGAGTGGGGCATTGAGGAAAACTAGCCCTTTCTTTAAACATTAAAAAAAATGCAGGTCCTTCATGCGAGGGGAGGTGGATGACGTGTATGTGCAACCTGGCCCAGCCTCAGTGTGCTGCTGGGAGCAGTGCGCATGGGATATGGGGGTGCAGGGCAGACACCCCAGTTTGCGCTCTCATCGCTAACGCTGCCAGATCCCACGAGTGTGACGTGAGGCTGGTTTCCCCCATCGGCACCTTCTTGTGCGTCGTCGGGGCAGCACACACATCTGGGGCTGGGGAGGGCTGGGGGCAGGCGGCCGCGCTCAGCAGCCTGTCTGTACTTGTGAAATACTGTGTTCTTCATAAGCTCGCAGAGGGGGGAGACGGAGTGGAGGGGAATGAGTCAGCCCTTTCAACTCAATTACAAAACAAATACAGGACCCCGCGAGCTGGGCCTCTTCCATCCTAATTGGCATCAGCACCAGAACCCCAGCTCCAGCTGAGCAGTTTTACAGAACAGAAAACAAGTTCTCAAACGAGCCTGGATGGCTGAACCAGGAAATAGTTGGAAGGGATCTGTACATTGAACACACAGGAATCCCAAACCAAATAAAACAGCCTAAACATGTTTCACCAGTGCTGTGTTATTTAAATGCAAGAAGTACCTTCTGGGGAGGCTCAGCCAACTGTATATGGTTTTGCTCTGAGAAGTTTGGTTTCAGAACCTTGATCAGACTCATATGACAGGAGTGGAGGATTTTAGCACCCCTAGCTAACGTGATTCACTGTCTATTACAACATGCTTCCTCTCACCCTGGTCTACTATTGCGCTTCATCGTCTTTTTTTCCACTGATAAAAACCCTGAGGCCAGTGGCTTTGTTTTGCTCGGTGCTGTGCATTCACTGTTCAAATCAGGGAAGGAGTGGAGCATCTTAAAGATATCCATGTTCAGCTAAGTACATTAAACACGTGCTTTAAAAGTTTATTCATGTGCTTTGTAGATCTATTGAAAAGGAAGGGAGAGTTTGTTTCAGTATCGTCTTGTTTTATTTCTTTGTGTCAGGTGCTTCAAGCCAGAACTTGTGGAACATGTAGGCAAGAAATTAATTATCTGAGAAAGTCCGGGATCCATGGTTTGGATTCCTCGTATTGTGTTATATTGAATTGCATTGTGTTCCTTCCACAATTGCTTCCCAGCTTCAGTTCCTCTTCTCATCACAAGCACTTGGAGATGAGATAGGGCCTGTGGGCTGTTATCTGTGGTCGGGGGAACTTTCTGCCGTGATTGAGGAACCTTGCACGAAGCTGTTGATTCTTTCACTGTTGTCATTTAGTTGGATATTTTGCCTGTTTGACTGATTTGAGGTTCTAGAGCTATTTTTTTTCTCAGTGGCAGGGGCCGCATGAGGAAGAGGAGGAAGGAAGGTAGCTTTGCACATGCTGATGTTTCACACTTGTGGGTGGGCAGGAGGCTGAGGTGAGGTGCAATGTCTCAAAGAGCAGACTGAACAGCGGTGGCCCATGACCACTGCCTGCTGATGAAGATGAGTGACAGACCAGTGAAAACACCCTGTTTAGCATCTGAACTACATTTGTCTTCCGTATTTCACTGGAAGGCAGAAAAAAAGGGTGAACAGAGAATTAAAAGCAAAATTTTCAAAAGCACCTCAGAGATGTAGGGGCACAAGTCACATTTCAAATCAATCTGTTACATCTAAGGGGTCTTTGAAAATCTTCTTAAAAGTTTCTGCACTTTCTGGCCTCTGTGTCTTCTGAAGCCACCATTTTAATCAGTCTTAGGGCAAAAAAATCATTCATCTCTGCTCTCTGAGAAGCTCCCATTCCCAAATTCTGTTAAAACTCCATAAAATCACCAAACCCTAAAAACCATCAGCACTATGTGCAGTAGAAACTGTTTGCTGTTTGAAAATAAAAAAGAGCTGAGCTGTTTACAGGCTCACGGGCGCTCTCTCATCCTCATTTAGGGACTTCAGCGACAACAACAAAAAAGGGTTTGCATAGTGATGGAGCAAAAGCCTTCATGTATCTTTCTCACAAAGAAGATCTCAGGATGTTTTCATTTCCCCCCAATTTCTTCCCACCCCCCTGACAACTCCATTCCTCTTTCTTCTGTTCTCCCCCTTTCCCCCCTTTGTCTTTCATTGCTTTCCTCCCCCTTGTCCTTCACTGAAAACCCTGCTCATTCAGTTACTTGTTGTCATCTCTCCTTGAAGCTACCACCACTGCTGCTCTGGTCAAGAGGTGTTATTTAAAACCCAGCAGCTCCCTAATGTTGTGCAAAGGCATCATCAATCATGCCAGGAAAAGAAAGCGCGGCTCATGTGGGTTCAATTAGAGGCACAGTAGTGGGCAGAAGTGGAAGAATACTTAGAGGGGAGGGCACAGCTGTTCATTTTTAAGGAGAGGAAACTTCACATGTGAAGCATCGCTTGAAGAAGGAGCCGGCTAGGATCTTGGGCAGCAGGAAGGAGACATGAATTCTCCCAGGCTGTTAAAAGTCCCAAGAAACAAATCTTTCTGGCACCAGATTTGTTTAAGTTTGCATCCTCTTCACTGTGCTGCACACAGTATCTTTGAAGGCCCTTTTTTCCCCCCGCCCCCCCCTCTTTTCTCCTTCTCACCCACCCTCCCTCCTTGCGTAAGCCTGTTTTGGAAGGCAGGACATGAAGGGAAACGGTTGCTGTGATGCCAGTCAAAGCAGCACAAAGTGCCCAAAGTGACAGCTAATAAACCAGATGAGAAAGCCAAGTGCTTCGTATGGACTGCTGTGAGCTGGGTGACCTTGTCAGATCAGACAGGCGAAACAGGCACGTGCCTGCTCAGGCTTCGGGTGGGAGATCTGCAAAGGCAGATGCAGATGCTGCCACTGGGACCCAATGCCGGATCTGAAGGCGGCACAGCTCAGGCCGAGTCGGTTGGAAATACCCCCGAGGTGCGGCGTGGTGCTGGGGAGAGACGGGCTCCTGCTCAGCAGCCTGGGGTCCTGCCCCTGGGCACGGCAACGGTCCCACCTTCAGGTGGGACATGGCAAGAGGGAGAAGCTGAAAGCTGGTGGGTGCCATCTGCAATGATTTCTGTGGTAAGGTTGTCCTCTGTGCTTTCAATCAAAGCCACTCGTCTTTGTCTCTGTTGCGGGGAATGTTCTCTGTTATATTCTGCTGCAGAAATGCATGTGCCGCTATTGCTTAAAGTGATGACATGATAGACGTGCTCTGAAATGTGCCATTATTATGTCTGACCTTGAAAACCTCAGCTTCCATCATAAAAAGTGTGGAACAAATTACTGGAAAAAGCTGAGAAGCCAGGGTCCTACCCACATGGGCACAGCTTCTCTGTGTGGGAATGGCCTTACCAGTGTGCCAGGAAGAGGAAAAGCCGTATGGGTCTGGAAGGAGGTGACTCTTCCAGATTTGGTTAGTGTTTTTGTTGGGAAAGTACCATGGGGAAAAACCCCGAGATGAAAACGTGGAGACACTCTTTTTTTTTCTTTTTTTTTCACATCAAGATCTCGAACAGGGGAAGAAATAAAGCACAGTGGGAGTATAACTCTAATGAGGGATCCCTTCCAAGCAGGCGTGACCCCCGGCACTTTGCATTTCCAGCAGGCTGTTGTGTCATAGAATCACAGAATCATTATGGTTGGAAGAGACCTCAAAGATCATCAAGTCCAACCGTATACCCAATGCCACCATGCCCGCTAAACCCACTAAACCATGCCTCGAAGCGCCACATCTAAACGTTTTTTGAACACCTCCAGGGATGGTGACTCCACCACCTCCCTGGGGAGCCCGTTCCAATGCCTAATGACTCTTACAGTGAAGAAGTTCTTCCTAATATCCAGCCTGAACCTCCCCTGGCACAAGTTGAGACCGTTTCCTCTTGTCCTGTCGTCCTGCAAATGACAAAGACCATGGCTGCAGCTGAAATGCTCTCACAAGTGTTAGCTTGGGCAAAACGTTCTTGCCCATTTTCTGTAAGGTGCAACTGTCATCCACAGGTATTGCTTGTGTTTAAATTTCTGTGTTATATTCTGGATTCTGAATTTGTACTGTTTATTTGGTGTTCTGCAGAGGTACACCTGATGTGCAACTCTGTCGTTAGAAAAACTCCCTTGTGCACCATACTGTGTCTCAGCAGCCAGTATCAGCTAGTAGGACCAATCATTTATTCCTAAGTTAGATCACACCAACACTAATAACTGAATTCTTGGAGTTATATCTCCTATCACTCATAGAGCTTCCCTGTGCTCAGTGTGGATCTAGCATCCAGCAAGACACAGTGCAAGACCCATGTCTTTTCCATAATGTTTGGATAGCCCCTGACATCCATACCTTGTTTTTATGTTTTAACCTCCTGCTGTCGAGGTGCCCAGCAGCCACGGTGCTGGAGTGTTATTTGATGATAGCATCTGCTAAGGGAAGTGGAGGCTTCGCTGAATGCTGGAGCAGCCCAGCCTGGAGTGTAAATGTGCTGGTGATGCTGCTGTGTGTGTGCGTTACGAAGACGTGGAAATATGCCGTGTCATCCCTTCTCCTGTGGCCATCACACCGCAGCTTCCTGGAAGCACAGGCATCTGCAGGTCACCAGCTGTCTACAAAATATATATGCTTTTTGATGGTGCAGATATTCTGATAAGCAGCAAAGGCAGAATTAATAGCCACTGGGGAGCAAAATGATTGGGAGTGAGAACACAGAGTGTCACTTCACCTGAGCGCTCCGAGAATCCCAGAATGTGCTGCTCTACATTTGTAGAAAAGACATTTTTTTCCATCAACAGTGCTCCCTGTTTAAATAAACTCCACCGTCTAGAAAAGGGGTTTTGTGCCCACTTGGGAAGTGTCCAGTTTCTCAGCTCTGGGACTGCTTTTTCCATTCTGAATGCAACCATATATCAAAGGGAGACAGGTCTGAACTTCTGTTGAAACCATTAGGGTGTTTTTGCAAAAAGGGAATCCAGGTCCCTTTGATGTGTGCTAGAAAAATTCCCCTTCCTTTTATAAACCCAGATCAATGGTCAGCAGTGCAAATCTCCTGTGAGCGTACCAGCCCTGAATAAAATATTCCCTGGAGGCAGAGAAATGCTGCTATACGGCTTGGTCAGATTCCTCGCCCGTATCTTCCCCTTCTCATGTTTGAGTTTCTCACATTTCTTTTTCTTCTATCCCTCTCTTTATTCTCGTATGAAGGGAAGAGTCCTACTTTCAGATTCTCCACTTCTAGTTTTTAATAATTTTCCCTTTTTAATTAGTAAGCGGATATGTTGTTTATTCTGTTGTCTTTGCCAACATCTGTTTGTCCTTAGGTCACCCAGTAAATGGTTCATCTTAGTTTTGGATGGGTGGCTCCTTTACCTCCCCCCTTTTTTTTCCCTCTCGCTCGGACTTCAGGGTTTCATCTGCTGCATCGTTTGGATTATTCCTCAAATCCATGGAAGTGTAGCTTCTGTGTAGCGATGACAACAGAGTGACATTAGGAAAGTCAGAGCTCAGGCACTGACTCTGTATTCGACCTCTCAAGTGCCAGGTGAACATATGGGCAGGATGCTCTTGGGTCTGTCCGTTGTGAACTCCTCCAGGAAAAAGTCTGTCTCTCAGCCGTGCATGTCCCCAGTGCCAGGGCAGCAGGGCCCCGGTTGCATTTGGAGCCGCGGGGCACTCTGATAGTAGAAGCCTAACAGCAGCTGTCAGTGTCTGAAGACAATGTTGACATGGCCCAGGCCACCTCTCTTGGTACCCCAGTCCCAGGGTGACTGAAACCTCTTGGAAGAGCCTCGGATGGGAGTCCCAAATGGGTTCATGTCAGCTTGGCTTTTACTTCAAACCCAAGAGTGAGTCGGACTGCTCAAGAAGTACATGGGGATCCCCTTGGAGTGGCTAGGTCACTGCAAAGATGCCGGGGATCGGGGATAGCTGTCAGCTCCAAACAGCTCAGACTTGTATCCTCCTTTCTGGCCACAGGGCAGAGCAGCAGCCTTCCCGGCTTGTCTCAGGAGGTGATGCAGACAAGAGTTCAGATTATTTGTAGTGCTCCACTCTTTATATGGAAGCACTTTGGTGTCTCACCCCAGAGGTGACAGAAATACAACTTGGTTCTCTGACACTGTTTCTCGTGGGACCTTGACGTTTTTAGAAGCTGCTGTCCAAATGATGATGGTAGTGATCAGACCCAGTTTTGCTTAACTTGCGAGCTAAAATAGTATCTCTTCTTAGACTTGAAATGGTTTTGATCTCTCCCTTGCTGGCTGTAGTGGCTGTAGGCATGTGTCTTTTTCTAGATGGAGTCCAGCATCACCATGACTTGCATGGATGGGAAGTGGAACAAGCAGGTGACCTGCGAGCCCGTGGACTGCGGTGTCCCAGACCAGTACCACGTCTACCCAGCCACCTTCGACTGCAGCGAGGGGACCACCTTTGGCAAGAAATGCTCCTTCACTTGCCGACCTCCTGCTCTTCTGAAAGGTATCAGAGGGTGTCTGTGCAGTGACCTGGGGATAGCTGCACAGCTAACACAGACTGTTCCTAGCAATATATGTTACTGTTGCTGTTGTTTTAGAATTATTCATGATATTTTAAGTATGAAGAATTATGAGACTCTATGGGAAGGTTTATTTATGTTAGAACTTAAGTTCCTTTGCATCTCTCTATTACCTTCCTTTGATGTTTCCTTGATCACAGCTGGCCAGGCAATAATGACAGTGAATATTGCTTCCATACAACCAAAACATGGAAAAGTCATGGGGATAAATCGAATTGAACTATCTCATCTTCTTTCCTATGCCTTCTCTATTTTCTGTATCTGTCTCTCTTCTATGCCTCCTCCATGTCTTTGGAAAGGCAGGAAAAGACTGAAGAGTCCCATGTCCCAGTGGCACAGTCCCCCATCACTGTTTTTCCTAATCCACCCATCCCCTCTCTCCTTTTCCACACTCATCTTTCTCTATTTCTGACCTTTATCTCCTCTTCTTCTTTGGGACTTTATAATTATTTTTTTCTTAAAAATAACACACTCTGCTGCCTTCTTTCCTTTTTTTCTCCCATCTTCTTCCCTGATGCTTTTCTGCTAGCATCCCCATCATCTTCTCAGCACCATCAACTCTTCTGCTCACTGGCACTTTACCCTTTTTGATCTGGTTCTCAGGAAACAAGAGAAGATATCATTGTTAATTTGAAGGAACATTACAGCCAAATTTACTTGTCATTGCAATGGGGTAGTCTTAACTGCTGTTGTCAACTCGGGTACAAATGCTGTATAAGCTTTTTCTTGTACATGTTGTATCGCCTTTTCTGCTAGGATTCATTGCAAACCCCAGAAGAGGCATGGGAAGTATTCTTCATTTCAGTGAAAGGATATGTTGATTTCTTCATATATAACCAAATTGCTTAATTCTTTTAGCTCCAACTTAGGCAGCCAGCACACAGTGAAAGTTAAGACTACTCAAAGGGAAGATTTTTATCAAAGAATTCCCTTTTTCTCTTCATTACACTCAGAGGGTCATCTTCAACAAGAGGTGTTTTTTCATTGAAAATGCCTGGAATTTGTTTGAGGGGGCAGTGAAAAGGATGATATTCATCAGGGTCAACAAGAGCTTCAGCTGATGACTCTGGTGAGGGTAGCTGGAGGGATGACAACCAACCCACAGGTCAGAGGGTGCAGCTGAGGTGTGTGGCATCACTTCACTTTTGACCAGAAAATCTGTGAGCTGTGAGATAAAGGCACCATTTGGTGTACAGCCATCAGTGATGACTAATAGATGTTGCCACTAAGCTTCTGGAGAATGGCGTTCGAATGACTCATGCCTAATTCAATCACTGACGTCATGACAGCCACTGTTGGTAATGTCACAGCTTATCACTTTGCAGTGGCAAGTATGATATCACCACGGCTGGTCTGCAGAGCTGCTGCATGAGTCAGAGCAGGGGAGCATGCTGGTGCTCTAGAAAAGAACTCCCTTCTGCACAAAATACCTCTGCAATCATCTGCAGTTGGGGAGGGGAGAGAGAAAGCCAGGGCTGATTTAAGGCAGCTTCTCTTATCTTTGTGGGTAGGGCAGGAGGGCTCCTCCACATACCTTCCTGAGCCCTCCAGAGCCTTTTGTTTTCTTCTTCTTTGAATTCCAGCCTCATGCCCCGGCTCTCTTCCTTCCCTCTCAGAGAGATGGCATTGCTCTGGGGTTAGCAGTTTGTCAGTATTATTTTGGATAACTCCGAAGTTGGCTTGCTGTTGAAAATACGCCTTGTGGGTTGAGAAGAGTTCCTGCAGCAATGCTCAGGGATTTCAATAGAGTATTGGGGATTTTTGAAGGGTTAGTTGCTCATAGCTGTGCTTTGTTTCTTAGGAAAAGCTTATTCCTTTTCAACATACAGTACAAAATAACAAAGAATGTAAAATACACTGAGACTGGGCTACTTTTAGCTTAACCTTCTGAAGTCAAGTAGGTCATAGCAGAGGCAAATAGATCTATTGTACCTTTTACCTTTGAGGTGCTGGCCAAGAAAGCTTCCTAAGGAAAATGAGTCTCTAATGAGTATTATGAATCGTATTTATCACAGTAGTCCCCAAGGACTGAGAGTCTCCAGCTGAGAATGGCTCCTCATTGTGTTGGAGTAGTGACTCTAATACTAACAGATGCTGCTCCAAAAGGCTCAAAATTGAAATAAAAAGGACAGATTCAGGGAAGAGACATAACACAGAAGCAGAATGAAGAACGTAATGGCACCAAACCCTCTGTTAATGCCGTGACTTTGGAGAGGAGGGGGTTGATGTATGAAGCAAGCTTCCTTTCAGAGTAGAACAAAATAAGGAAGAGAAATACAAAAGATTACAAAGGCAGTGTGGTTTCCCCTATGCTATAGCATTTCCTGAAATAAGCACTGTCTGCCTGTCGTCTGAAAACAGAGTCCTTAATGATTTAATGCCATCATCTAGAAAGAGAAAATGCATAGGACATATACAGTTGAATTTGTCAAACCAACTGAGGTGGCTTTTGATATATTATGGGTGTAACGACATTTTGAAAAGAAATAATCCTGCTGA